GTACACTGGGAGGTGGAGACGAAACGAGAGAATGTTTACTGAGTGTCGACTTAGCTTTAGATTTCTATTACGAAACTTTTCCCAATGAAAATGTGGTAGCTGTTTATTTGACACCCCAATAAACTGGTATTTATTTCTGTGAACTACCATTACCTCACAGACTACCTATACATGGTAGGCCCAAATAAATATTTGAGGAATCATTTGATGAATAAATGCCAGGCACTGTGTTTGTAGCATTTTTGCATACATTAATTGAAATGAAGTACATATTACATCTCTACAAGATAGGAATCCGGCTCTGAGAAAATGACCTACCCAAAGAAAACAAATTACAGTTATAGAGCCAGGATTTGTCCTCAGGTCTGCTTGTCGACAACATTTAAGCTTTTTCTGATAACTAGTTTCATCGTAAATCATAAACATAATTCCTGATAAGTATGTCATTTCCCTGCCAGAGGTAGTAAATTACCTTTAGAGTATAAAATCTTATTACTGATACTAGTTTTTAAAATTTGGAGAAATTTTAAATCATACCTTTTTCTTCTGGACAGAAGAATTAAATCTGTCTGCCCCTATACTTAGTTAGGTTTTATATATTTTAGTTTGAGGTTGTGTATCTTTTTTTCTCTTGTTCTGGGTCTTCATTAACAATGTGCTTTCTTCATTTTTGTGTGGATTTTCAAAACCAGTTTGTTCACTTAATTCATTCTCTTTCTACTCTTAAAAAGTTTAGTACTTTTAAGTTTGTGTTATTTTAAAGGAATTTGGTAAGTATGAATCTAAAACTTTTAGTTTATAATTGGTTCAAGAACCTTACAGAATTCACTTATGCCAGGATGAACCATACTTTTAAAACCTTTAGTTCCCAGATAACAGTAATCTGATGTCTATTAGGGTTAAGTTTTTTAAACAGAAGCCAAAGATTCAACTTTGTACATTTATAATCCATTAGTTGCACTTTTAACCCAGAAACCTAGATTGAGAAATAAATACAACTATTAAGGATGTGGGGTAAGTGCTACCTTTGACAATTATATATCAAACTTGTAGAATTTTAGAGCTGGAGGGATCTTGGTGTTCACCTCATTTAGTGACCTTATTTTATGGTGGAAAACAATCTGTAACCTAAGGTACTGCTGGTATGTTGTTAAAGTTGGAGAATATTCAGATTTAGTTTCAGTAGTTTTAGGGAATCAAAGGGGAAATGATCTCTAGGGGGTGTCAGTGAGCAGATGGAAAATAAAGTGGCTTGTGACTCCTTTTTTTCCTTTTAATTCTGTCCCCTTTTGAGTCATGAGAAGTTGTGTTAAAAATCCTAATTTGCTAATAAAGTGCAGAGAAAGAACTTCGGGAACGTGGCCAGTTTCTTTGAAAGTTAGTAACAGAGCCAAGATTAAAAGCATACCCTTAAATATCGAGACAGCTTATATATATACAATGTCAATCACTGTAACACCTGTTTAGCCTACTGAACCATGCTGCCCTTCTCATGCCCCTGTGAAGCTGTCTGGAGTAGGGTCAGCGAGCGAGCCTGTGAAGGAAAGCAAGTGAAATAACAAGAGGAAATGTCGGAGAGGGTCCCTGAGGGTAAAAGAAAAGACAAATGTTGGTATCTTAATTCTTCCAAACCTAAGTAGTTTGTCTTATGGTAGCAGAGTCATTTTATTAATGAGAACACCAGAGTTTTGAGAATTTCTAAAAGATAATAGCTGTCTCTTAGGATTCAGAGACTTAATGGCTTGCAAAGAAGCTTAAGCCTAATGTTTTAGGCAGTGCCAAGCTGGACTGTACAATTTGTCTCAAGATAATGGAAACAAACATTCACAGTGTTTTTAGTCTGTTGGAAGTAAACACGATATAAAGTAATGGTTTGAAGGTTGTACTGGAAGTTGAAAGGCTACATTTAAAGTGTAAAATGTATAAAATAGCAAATATGTATTTCAGTGCTTATATAATAAGTGCCATTCTTTGTTGCTAAAGAAGTTCAGTGACTTTTCCCAACGTTTCTGTAAGCATGTGTTGTTACTTTTGGTAAATACAAATGTAAAACAGTGTTCATGGCTTAAGTCAGCGATTTTCAACATTTTTCACCTCATGGCACACCTAAACTAATTACTAAAATTCTGCAGCACACCAAAAAATACATTATTTTTGCCATTCTGACAAAAAAAATAGGTATAATTTTGATTCATTCACACTGATGGCTGCTGTTGTGTTAGTTATTGTAATTTTTACTGAATTTATTGGGGTGACATTGGTTATTAAAATTATATGGGTCTCAGGATTACAATTTTATAATACATCATCTGTATATTGTGTGTCCACCACCCCAAGTCAAGTCTCCTTCCATTACCACTTATACGCCCTTTACCCTCTCCTACCTCCCCCCACCCCCTTTCCCTCTGGTAATCACCATACTGTTGTCATTTTTTTATTTGACAGTCTAAGGGTAAAGAGGTCAGTGCCCCTGACTAAATGGTCAGATATTGCATATTTCAGAAGTTCTTGCAGCACACCAGTTGAAAATCACTGTGGTAGACTAAGAATAACCATAGTAGTAGAAAAATCAAAGAAACTCTTAATTTCAGCTAAAAGATGATCTAGTCAAGTCTGACCTCTTCAGTTAACAGAACAGAAAGCTGAGGTCTAGAAACTTACTGACACACTCAATAGCAATACTGTGGTAATTAGAAGTTTGCAACATTTTAGAGTAAATACTAAATAAAATTAATTGGTTCTAGTTGAAACCACACAACTTACTAGATTTTCATTCATTTGAATAAAATATTTTAAAAATAATTCATTGTAAGTTATTGTAAATATCTGCATCCCTAAATGCTTTGTGTAGTGCCTTGTTGGCACATAAAATAGGGACCAAATTTTTAAAAATATCAAGTGTAATCATTATAGTTTTAAGATTGAAATAATATATAACTTATTACATGGTGATTTTTTTAAGTATCTCTAAATACTCCTGTACTGGGACATAGTTTATACTGTATCAGCAATAATATTAGGTTCAGGTTACTGTGTGGCTTTTGAAGAATTCCTTTTCTTTTTAAATTGCTCCAGCTTTGGAAATCTGTAGAACCCTAGTGAATATTTAACATTGTAAAAAGAAATAAAACACCTAAAACATTAAGTATACACTGAAAATGATTTACCAAAAATTGATGTAAGTAGAAAACATTCCCTTATTTGGGAAATTTCTCTTAATAGAAGGCCTATGATTCAGTTAAATGTACAGAAGATAAGTTACTGCAAATGTTCATAGGATACTGCTTGAGAATTTGTCTTGTTTTCTCCTAAGAAAAAATTATATCAATTTTATATTTAAGTTCTTGTTGTATTGTGATGTCTAATTCAGTCTTTTTTTTTTTCCTTTGTATAATTACTGCTAACTTTTAAATACTGCTTGTTGCAAAGGGAAAGGATGTTTAAAAGATGTGAACCATTTAATTTTTGAATGCTGGAACCACTGTTAAAGTTGTAAGCACATCCGTATTATATTACACAGGAAAAAAAATGTATGTGTTCTGTGGCCTATGGGCACTAGGGTGGCTGAGTATTTTGCATTTCATGTTCTTTTCAACATAATAAATATTTAGTGATTCTAAAATAAAGAATTTAATTCCAGGAGAGAGGTGTGTGGTCAGGCAAACATAAGTAAGGTTTTGCCTTTACATTTGTTCTCTCACTTGTCACCTACTTCTTAAAAAGAAATCAGTTTTTTACAGTGGGTTTGCCTTTGCATTTTAAGTACTTCTGTCTTCCCTTAATTGACAACTATGACATGGGACAAGCTTAGAACACAAAGAAGTCACTACACCAGGAGTTCTTAGTAAGTGTGCTACACATCTCAGTCAGCTGCAAGTTTTGGAATAAGTAATTTTTTACTAATTAAGAAATTCCAAAGTTTGTGAAGTATTTACTATTAGAGCAAAATTACAGCAGATTCAAGTGTATCCCATGATAACCTTACTCTTGATCGTTTGTATTCCAGTGTGCTTTCTTGAGCGGGAGGGAAAAGGATGGAGTCAGGCTGTCAGTCTGGATATCCCTTGGGTTATATGTTGTGCACGTAAATATCATCTGTCATTGGTGGAGATAGAAAAGAAAAGCTAGAGAACGTCTGTGCTGCATTGGTGGACATGTTCTCTACTGCTTCCGCTTTTACATGCGTGAGGTTCACTGCCAACACATTCCCATATGCAACTTGAGTAAGCTAGCTGAAATTCCACCCCTTTCTCTCCTATTCCAGCATATAGGCAAGCGGAAATGTTAGGGAAATGCATCTTTAATCAACTCAAGTTGTTTTAACTAATGACATGGTAATTTCATACAAGCATCTAATTACCTGTGACATTTGACAGCTATATCATGTATGATCCCATGACTAATAAACTCCTTATTTCTTAAATTTTGTGGTTTTGCCTCATTCAAAAATCCAAACCTGGTTTTGTAAATTTTTTAAATGAAGGAAGGCCGTATTTAATAGTATGGCAATATAAATTTCTGGAAACTAATTAGAATGAACTTTTTTACAAAAGTATTTTGTAGCCGTTATTTTACTGACATATATTGCTAGAAATTATTTATCATGGGATAGTGTTTGCTTATATTTTAAAGCTCAAACTAAGTATATTTTAGGAATTTGAATTTTTAGATAGTCCTTGTTTTATCCAAGAAAATGTTATGATAAATTAAAGATAGATATTATATAAAAGTTAATATTTATTCCTTACTGATATGTAAATGAATAATTTATTCTAGAGCTTTCCTCATGTCAAATTTTATTTGATATGCTTTTGATTTAGTTTTAGAACCTCACTAATAACTTTTTGAAGTATTAAACTTCCTATATTATAAGGAAATAACTACTGAATTAATGTTATTGCTACTTAAAAATTTCTTGATGTAAGGGACTCTGATATATTTTATTTATGAGTACTTTTTAATATTAAGAGCATTTTCTTATTTTGCTTTTTTATTATAAGATATTATGAACTGGATCCTCACAAAAGTCTTCTTGACAATTTGAGGAACAAAGTGATCATTGAGTACCCAACATTACATGTGGTACTAAAAGAATCCAATAAAGACATGAAAGTTCTTCACCAAGGTAAGTGTGAATTTGTTCCTGTAATGTTCAGACTAGCTCTAATGAAACAAGCAATTAAGGCTATCTGTATTTATGTATGTGTTTTCCCACTAGATTTGCACACACAACTGAATATATACTACAGTTAGTGCTGTAAACAAATGAATGAGCTGCTGCTTCTGTCTGGTTGGAGAGAATGTGCACTTATACTAGCAATTTAAAATGAATGAGTCAGTTTAAATGTCTGGCTATAAAAGGATACTTCCTGCCTTGTATGTTTTTGTCTTCTTTTAAGCTAATAGTCTATAAGTAACAGTCTGTCATGATCAGATAAATGTACTCCCTAGTTAAAACCTTTTTCTAAAATGAGGGGTTGCAAAAACATTTTTAGTATCCTACCAATAGAAAGAAAAATGTTGCAAGGAACATTATGTTTCAGATTTGTACTGCATTTAGATTACGTCCCATAAGGGTCAAGTTCCACTGCCTTAACCCTTCATATCCTTTTATTTTTAAAGCCACTGTTTTTATTTTCTTTGATTTTGTTTCATTGACTATAATCTTTGGCATTTTAGTGGTTCTTACTTTTCCCTCTGTGGTGAGCAGTGGAGTTGGGAGGAAGTATTAGAACTGGAAGTGGTATATGTAAAAGTTTAGTGTATAAAATGACTTATCCATATTTGCAAATACTGGTTGAAGTAAGTTAATTGTACCCTGGCTGATTTGGCTCAGTGGTTACAATGTTCGCCTGTGGACCAGAGGGTTGTGGGTTCGAATCCCAGTCAAGGGCAGGAAGCAACCAATCCATGTCTCTCTCACATCCATGTTTCTCTCTCTCTCTCTCTCTCTCTCCCTCTTTCCTTCCCTTCCACTCTAAAAAAAAAATCAATGAAAAAATATACTTGAGTGAGGATTAACAAAAAAGAATAATAATAATAATAATAAAGTAAGTTTAACTGTGTTTCTAAATGCAGATTCGAGAGGATGAATAAAATCCAGAAATTACTTAAGTTACTTACCTTAACTCAAAATCATTCAATACCACTTTCAGCTAAGAATTATAGGTAAGAGCCAAATTTCATTGTAACAAACTCCAGAGTACCAAAAAATCCTTGGATTGGATTGAACTCTATTTTTTAAGATAATATTATTTGATATATATGGTTTATTGTTGTGCCAGCGTTATAGACTGTAATAGGCAGTAACCGCTATTGTAAGGTATTCTCTGTATATGTATATAATAGCTTTTTTTCTTGGCAGAAGTTAACAGAAAATTTTTTTCCCAAGTGGCCAAAATTTTGTCAGTGCCACAGTTTGAAACTAGATTTTTAATTAGCAGACTTGAGGTTTCTGATAATCAATTATGGATTTCTAAATCTTAAGGTTAATTCTTGACTTTATATCTTTTATAGTTTGAGAATATCCTATTTTTTCTCAAATTAAATTAGAAATTTTAGTTTTAAATGACCATTTCACTTTTTCTTTTTTTTAAAGCTGTATAAAACCTTACTTTTTCCTTCCTATAATTCACATAGCTCTCTCTAACTGTTGGTTTCGGGGAAGGTTGTTCAGCGGTGTGGGTTCCTAGCCAGGGCAAACATGGTCTGTGTAAATAAACATGCACACACCGCTCCCCTTCCACCTTGTTTAGGAACGCACATGGAAGGCAGGCTTCCTGGAGCCAAGCAGAAAGAAAAGGCTGCTTTTGTGGTGCGCTTGGAACCTTCCTAAGTAAGATGTGCTGTTTCTTGTTAGGTGCAGGGTGTTTAACTATCTGCAGGAAGCAGGGGCTCGTGCTCTCAGTGCAGAGGGTCGGTTAGAGCTGCTGTGGCGAAGAGCTGAAGGGGTCTCACAGGCTTTGAGGGGCCGTCGCCGAGCTGTCAACCTCACGCGGCACACACTTTAAACAACAGTGCCATCTTCCTCCGTATGCTTGTCTTTGTGTGAGCACTTCAAGGGCTCTGCTTTTCTGTACCTTCTCAAACCACTGGACGTTCTGCAGGGTGGTCCCTTAATGCAGAAGAAGGGTTATATAAGAATAGGGCATTTTCTTTGGAAAGCCTTGACATTCTTTCTCTCTCCAGAGCCAAAAAGCTGGATTTTAATCTTGAGTTCGTAGCACAAGGTGTCTCTCTTCTAGTTTTGGGAAAATGTGTTTCTAGGCTGGGATTCAGTCTGTTTCCACAGTTGATGGTTGTTACAATGTTTGTTATTGTAGATTGCCGTAATTTACTTTTTCCAAACTCTGCCAATATTGATGGGCAGTTGGCAGGTTTTGTTTGTTTGTTTGCTTTTTGCTTTTTAAGGAATGAAAAAAGTTGACCGTAGAAGGTTAAGCAGTTAAGTAAGCCCACTAGATTGGAGATACAGAGTACTAATCACCCATTTGCATAGATCCAGAGCAGAGTGATCAGAATAGTGTTACTTGCTTCACAGGTCTTTGTTTGCCAAAATTAACTAGTAGATCAAATGACTTGATGAAAGCTTGCTTCATTTCAGTCTAAGGGAAAAGAATGGAGCTCTATTAAAAGAAGGAAACTGGGCAACTTCAGTAAGCAAAGGAAGGTGAAAGTCGTCCACAAACTGCAATGCCAGAGAGTACAAAGTCCCATTAATTAAAAATACCAGCAGAATGTATTTCCCTGTTGTTCTAAGATAACTCAAAGTTAGAAAAGGCCTCTACCTTTGAGAAGGAATCCAACCCAAAATTGATTACTTGAATTTGTGAAAATACCTAGCAAAACAGTTCCCCATACATCAGTCTCTGTTGGGCCAATGAATCTTTTCATCCATTCTCCTCCCCTCTCTTTTCCCCTCTTCCCTCCTTACCCATCTTTTTACCTTTCTTTCTCCTTCAAGGTGTGTGTGATGTAATGGGTGGGAGTATGGGGTGGATCTCAGGCACAGGAACACACATGTAAACTTGATAGTGCATTGGGTGCTGTAATAGAATTTGCATCAAGTGCAGAGAAGTCAGAAGAGAAAACAACTAACTTGTAATAACATGGAGACACTTGAAGGACTCTGCTAGAGTTTATGAAATTCCCAAGAATGGAGACATACCTCGGATGAAAGCTGTGTCAGGGTCTTATTCATAAAAAGAACTCAACAAACACCAGTTTGATTTCTGGTACAATCTTAAATGTAGGTACTATCAGCAAACCCCAAAGAACTTGGCAGTTGGAATATGAGGCAAATCAAGTTTATGATTCTAGCAACAACTCTTAATAGCTTTGGGCCCTTGAACATTCACTGTGCCTCTCTGAACTTTATTTTTCTTATCTACACATGAAGATAAATGGCTATAAGCCTCAAGCAAAATAACCTGTATTTTAACCTTAATTTTCATAGTGTTTTATACATTATTTCCTTTTAGCTACACCACACAATGAAATAAATAGAGCGGTCACTCTGGTTCCTGTTTTGCAGATTAACAAACTAAACTAGCCTGGCCGGTGTGGCTCAGTGGATTGAACGTCATCCCATGGACTGAGAGGTCCCGGTTTGATTCCTGGTCAGGGTACATGCCTAGGTTGCAGGCTCGATCGCTAGTTGGGGACGTGCAGAAGGCAATCAGTGTATCTTTCTCACGTCCATGTTTCTATCTCTCTCTCCCTTCCTCTCTCTAAAAAATTAATAAAATCATATTTTTAAAAATCTAAACTAAAAGATAGAATAACACATTTATGTTGACTCAGCAAACATGCTACACCAGGGGGATAGATATAGGGAGGAAAGGTACAGTCTCTACCCCCAAGGAACTCTCGGTGTAGTGAGGAATCATAGACTTGCTTACTGTAGTTAAGGCATCTCCTTTAAAGGAACTCTATTTCTTTGAAAGGAAGGAGATGGCGATTAGCTAGTCTTCTGTCAGCCCACATTCACTCAGCATATACCGACCCTCAGTTTTAAGTTAAAAAGAAAAATCATGGAAAAATTTATTCCAACCACACTTGGCTAGCCTATGTGATAATAGCGATCTGTTCAGTGGTGCGAGTGTGGGATCATAACCACACTGTGATGGTACCATTCCCAAGTCTTCCACAGTCAGGAAGGATGTTACCTCACAGAATGTAATTGCTACTCTCAGACATCATTTCTCTATTTACTGCGGCCAGAATTGTATATCCCAGCTGCATGGGACATGACGTGGTTTGTCTGTCCCTGTGAGCAGTGTTGCTGGTAAGCATCAGAAGGGAAGAGAGAAGAGGAAAAAACAACAGGCTAAACAGAAACAGTAAAAACACTTGACTGTATGTTTTTTGGTTTTTGTTTGTTTGTTTGTTTGTTTGTTTTTCAGTGAAAGGCGAATCTACCAAGAACATTGGCAGTGAAAATTGAGCACTTCTGGAGGAAGGAAATTCCCAGGTTGCAGAAGACTGTGCATTGACTAGCTGTTGGGTGATTGGGGTGTTGTTAGTGGATGGGTTCAATTTCTTGTTTTTCTGAAAAGTAATTAAACAATCTAAATTTTTTTAAAGATGTGCTTTCTAGACTCTTGAATTGACATACAAGGCCCTTATTCCTATTAACAACGCCTCCTTTGCACCTGATTGGCATACTGCTTATTTTAATTAGATGCTGACTTTTAGTGGCTAAATTGCATAGGCTGAAAACTTTCCCATTTTGATGCAAGACCAAACCCAAAGATCACCTGAGTCAGCCCCTGCGTTGTCAGAAGGCCCTGCGACACAGCAGCTAGCCATCCTGAGTAACTTACCCTCTTGAGGTGAGTAAATGGTTCTTTTATACTTGGGTAGTGCCAGGATGATGTCCTGTGTAAAGGCTGAATAAATACATTTAGCCACTGTTTCTTATATTCGGTTCAGAAAATCAGCGGCTCCGCATTTTGTTGTTTGACCCATCAGTGTTCACAGATATGACTGCACTTGTTCACACAGTGAGCTGTGTCTTACTATGAATTCTGTGCCTTTTATCCCATTTTCACTCCACTCTTGTCATTGCCACACAGGGGTGTTGTCGTGTTTTATGCTGTGTTTTGAAACATCTAGCAATAACTAAAAGAAAAACACTTGGAACTCTTTAGTGTTGTTGGAATGTATTGTGTATTTATGATATACCTGGCTTAATTTATACCTTATGGCAGCTCTGTGTGCATTATGATCTCACAGATCTCACATATTAAAATTAAATGTTCCTAGTTTTATTGGAATTTATACAGTTATGAAATTGCAACATGACTATAAAAGAGTAAAAGATTATTACATCTGTGTTGCATCTGTGTACTTAATGGTTAAGAAAACAAAGATAAAATTTGACATTCGTGAAATTCTTTTCTAATTTATAACTAGAATAAGTTGTAGACCAAAAAGAAACCAAAGCCATTAATTAAAGAGACTTGGAAAGATTAGAAATATGAAAAAAATAAAAATACTGACAAGTTGAACACAAATATATATAATTTGGGGTAGAAACTGGAAAAGATAATCCAAAGACAGTAATTCCACAAATACCCTTGGTATAAAAGTAATAGTAGGAATGGGGTTCATAGGAAATAAGGCCTTGTAATTTGAAATATATATATATTTATTTATTTCATAAAACAACTTCAGGAATCCTCTCCCTCATACAGTAACACATTTTTGTAGAATTATATCATTCATGATATTACTGGGAAGACAACTAAATGGGATTTCAATCTAATTTAGATTGAATCTAAGAGGGAAATTTGTCTTCTTGAAACAGGCAAGAAATAAATTGAACTGAATCAAAAGTGTGGAACAATGTAGAATTGTTATTGGGAAAAGTGGGATAAAGTACACAGATGAACATGTGATCTGAGTATCAGGGTGGAGAGGAATTTCCTGACAGTGAACTCTGTTATGATGTAGTCTCATTTCCAAGAAAAGTGTTGAGTTCCATCCCTTTTAGAATTTAAAATGAAAACTGGACAAAACCCAAAGAATTTATTCTGTATTTTTCCCCTGCCCAGAAGGAAAAAGAAAGGGGAAAACTATGTCTACATGATCTAATAACGCATCTGTGCCATCTCTGTTGTCTAGAATTGTATTAGACTTTTCAACTATAGACTGTTCCTTAGGAAGGAATTTAACCAGCACAGTTCCCTTAAATGTAACTGTCAGCTCATTTGAGGAATATGTACATTTATTCCCATAGGGTTTCAGTAAACGTGTTTTAGTGAACAGCCATGACAGCTGCTTGGAGGGGGTGAAATTGGAATAATTATTGAGAGATCTAGAAGTTTGTAGTATTAAGACCCAATTTCTTTTTTCAGAGACCCTCTCCATTTTGGATTCTTGACAAATTCTGATGCATAAACAATTTCCCTGACTCATATTAAGTGCAACATCCTGCATTTTGTTCATGACTCACATTTTAAAAGGAGAAAAGCTCCACCTGGCCTTCTTTATTTTTTAAACAATGATTTCAAAGAGAAAGTAGGCCTTTCATAATTGCTAATTATTATATATGGGATTATTAGCCATAAATTACCATAAACAAAGCTTGCACCTGTTCATATTATAAATATAAATTAAAGAGAATTACTATCATTTAACTCTATAACTTAAATATAATTTAAATTTAACTATATAATTTAAATATAAAGCTATTAAGAATCCAAAGTGTAGTTGAGCCTATTTGCTGCCCTGTAGCAAGTAGTGGGATTCAGGTTTCACGACCTGGAGTGAAACATTAAACACATAACTATAGTGCCCAAAATCTCCTTTACACATTTTGTTTAATTTGGTTGACATATACAAGTGTGTTGTACCTGATTTCATACTAATCATTAAATTTTAATCAAAGATGCCTACTTTGCTTTTATTTAATCATATGTTACTACATTAAAATGTGTTAAGTTTATTTTCAGGTAGATATTGTGCACTTTTGATTATTAGCCAATTGTCTCTCAGTTGCAAGTAACAGAAACTCAACTAGTATCAGCCTGAACAGCACTTTATTGGTTCATACACAGGAAAGTCCACACCTGACTGAGTCCAAACACCCAAGGAAGCCATCTTCCCATCTCCCATATTTGCCTCTGATTTTTTTCTTCTTGGATTGGTTTTTCTCATCTAAGGAGACTCTCTCTTTAAGGATGCTCTTTTTGGGGTGGGAGACAGTGGGATGGGGATAGTAGGTGACGGCCGTTGACAGTTTCAGTTTACGTCATCATAACCGAAGTGTGGCAGCAAGTTATGTAAAATTTGTGGGAAGAACTTTGATTTTGCCCCGATTGGATCATATTTTATCCCTGAGCTGATCAGGAGAGGAGCTCCCCGAGAGGAAAGGGAAATGATCAGAAAAAGGAACCCTGTAGGGAGCAAGCGCAGAAAGGTGGTTACTGAGAATACAAAATTAACAGATGTTCATCCACTGCATGCTATTTGAATTTGAGGTCTCTGATTTAAAGTAACATAAACAGTAAAATTCAAAATTAACCTGCAAACCCTCATTGGCTTTAACTAGAGATTTTAATTCCTGCTTGATACCATTAGTGCTTTGAGTTGCTGTTACGGGCTTTTAAGAAATGCTTTCTAGTCTTGGGTGGTTTGGCTCAGCAGTTAAAGCAGCTGCCTGAGGACCAAAGGGTTATGGGTTCGATTCCAGTCAAGGGCACATACCTGGGTTGTAGGTTTGATCTCCAGGCCCAGTTGAGGTCATGAGGGAGGCAACCACTCGATGTGTCTCTCTTTCTCTCTCTCTCCTCTTCTCTCCCCCTCCCTCCCTCCCTTTCACTCTCTAAAAATCAGTGGAAAAAATGTCCTCGGGTGAATTAACAACAGAAAAAAAAGGAAATACTTTTCATTTGTGTTTAACGTAAGTTGCTACTGGTTTGATCAGATGCACATAGCACCAGTCCATTTCCATCACAAATTTGGAAACTTCCAATTTCACCATCATTAGAGGAATAGTGATTTTGAAATTTGAATCATAGTGGGGGGAAATGCTTCAAAAAATAAAGACAACATAAGCAAAAATAGGCCCTTAAATGAACCTTTAGAGATCTGTACTTTATTACAAAGTATTTTCTTTCAACTTTGGTCAGTGGAAGTTATCTAGAATATATGAGCCTGTGTTCTTTAAAATGAACTATAATGTAAACACTTTCCAAATTGGAGTAGAGTGGGCTTCGCTCATTTTGAACTTCGTGACCAATTGCAACCTTGAGCCTTTGATGAGCTACTACACAACCCAACTATTAGGTTTTATTTTCTTGCTGAATAAATTTACCAAAACCTTTTCCCTCCATGACTTGGCCCTAACCTGATTTGACAGCATTCTTTCTTTTTTTCCTCTTATTTTCACCCTTTGCTTTAGTCACAAAATAACATGGATGCTACCATATATGCATCAGGCTTGTCCCCCTGGAGTGCCTTTCTCCTCTCCTCTCCACATGCACGACTCTGCCTGTCCTTGAAGAGGCAGCTTGAGCGGTAGTTGCAGGGATCCTCCCATGGAGAAGTCTTAGTTATGTTCATGCTTTGCATCTTCTGGTTGGCTGGTGCCATCCTAGTTGTTAAATGTTTTTAATATCACTGATAATAAGTAATAACTGATACGTATTAATAGTTTACTAAATCCCAAGCACTTTAAATACATCAACTCATTCAAGATTTTGCACACCAATCCTATGAAATAGATGCAACAGCAAAGTCCTGCCATAAGTACAAAAGTTTCAGTAACGTGAAGTGGGTCCAGGGTGAGCCTGCACAGCTAGCTGTCCAGGGATTCCTAGCATCTAACTGCAGGGCCCAAATCCATTCTGCAGTTTGGCACCACATGGTGGCAGGTGTCCACCCAGGTTAAAATATCAGTGGGGACAACTCTGAGTTAGTCCTATTTCTAGGGTAACAGAGTGAGTCCAGGAGGCTCCCAGGTAGTTGATGCCCATTTCATCAACCTGACCTGAGATAAACCACTCTGTGCCTCCCCATTTCCTCACCTGGCTTCACCTTTACTTTTATATTCCTCACCTTCACTAACAGTTAAGTATTTGAGCCCACATGCATTTTGTGAACGGGGCTACGTGAAGAATGGAGCTGAGTCATGTGATATTGGGCAGCATTGTTGATGAGGGTCACTGTATGTAAATCATTTTCTGGATGAGAAAACCAAGGCATATAGAGGGCAAAGCTTATTCTTAGATCCATCCAACTGTTAAATGATAAATAATGGAGCTTAGATATTTTACTTCTTTTAATTCCTCTCTGTTCCTGGCATTATCTTTCTTCCTGTCTGTATAATTATTGATGAGATTCTTCTGTATTTAATTGGTCAAATTCGTGGTTGATACTTACATCATCACAGCATCGAGCACAGTTCTGGCATAAAGTAAGCCCTCAGTAAAGACGAGGTATTGAGATGAGGTGGGAGGACGAGGGAAGCTCTCCAGGCTGAAAAAATTGAAGGCTTTCTGATTGTTATTTCTCAGTCTATAGCACAGCCCCTGATTGATAAGATGAAAATAATAGCTAAAAGCTCAGAACTTAGCATAAGCTAGACACCATTCTAAGCACACAACAACTGTTAATCATTGATCCTCACAATCCTGTGAGGTAGGCACTGCTGTATTTCATGGAATCTAAAATGTCATTAATTATAAAGTGTGCCATTTCATGTAACACTAAGAAAGACAAATGCTAAGAAAAAATGCTACCAATTAAATTATGACAATACTGCCCGGCCAGTGTGGCTCAGTGGTTGAGTGTCGACCCATGCACTAAGAGGTCGCCAGTTCAATTCCCAGTCAGGACACCTGCCCAGGTTGTGGGCCAAATCCCCAGTGAGGGGCATGCAGGAGGCAGCCAATTGATGTTCTCTCTCATTGATGCTTCTCTCTCTCACTCTCCCTTCCTTTCTCCCTAAAATC